TCTTCTTCACCCTGCTCCCTGCACCCATCCCCTCTCACATTTTTCACCACCTTTTAATTTCTTCCGTCCATTCTAGCAGCCCTTCAATAATTAAATCGAGTTTTCTATGGAGCAAGACTAGTTCAGTTGATTTCACCTGGATTATTTCGAGAATTTATACTAGATTATTGAGAAATCTTGACCGATTAAAAGTGGCGAATGTAACGTTTATCCGTTATTATTATTATAACATTAGGATAAGTTAGGATAATATTCAGTATTTGATATGTGGTGCAACACTAATAACCTAATAGCTAAACTACTTAACTACCATTATGATTAGGAGTCTGGTTAGGGTTTAGGAGACCTAAAAACATACAACCACAATGATGGTCAGTGGTTATCTAAGGTCACTAATCCTCTCAGTGCTCATATTACATACCTCGTACACCTTCTAGAAAGATATGAGTAAAGTGAGAGACAAAATACTCGTGTTATCTGCCGCTGTCCGGATCGTTCAACCGTCTGAAGAACTATGGCTAGAGGTTAATCACATATTATATGCACGTGATATATATTTAGTCTAATAGCGAAGACCCTTTGTACGTGTGCAAACGTACAAGCAAAGGGTCTGGTATGAACTTAAGAACTAATTAGGCAACTCGCTATTTACATTCTTTAGCAACTCTTAACAGGAGTTTTGAGGATTTAGCTGGAAACCTAGTGTATTACACTGAGAATTTGAGGGTCATTGAGTGTCCTTGATTGATCAGATGTAACAAAGACCTTTTGTGTGCAGAGTGTACAATAGGTGAAAACCTAAGCATTGATAACGCTACTCGCGATTTACTTTATTAAATGATTCTTGACGGGAATTTTGAGGGCTTAGTAGTTTGACGTTAGCTGAAAACCTGATGTAAAAAAAAAAAAACAAAAAAAAAACTGGGTTTTCTGTGGGCTGTTTGTTTTATATATTTTCTGCTACCCAGCTGCTTTTCTTCTTTGGCTGTTTCTGGAAATTAAGGATGTTTTCTGACGGATTCAACGCACAATGATTACGATGACTGGATCCATAATCGTATTCCATTAACTAAAGTACGTATAATCTAGGCTACTGTATGAGGGCCGCGGGCCGCCCATGCCATCCACATTACCCGCTCATTATTTATATTCTTTGATTCTTAAACTGTCATTATCGGTGCCACTTATAAAGAATCCTTATCTATAACGGGTGTCTTGTCGGCTGTTTTTACGGAAGAGTTAACGTAAATAAAAACATTACTATATTCATCTGAACACCGCAAATCTTTTGACTCCTTTTATATTTTCTTTTAACCTAACCCCCATCCTTTGTACATGTATTGTCCTTTGTATCGCTTCCAGATTATTCTAATTATTATGCACATTAAAAGAAAACAGCGTTATGTTATTATTATTATTATTATTATTATTATTAATCTCTGACCGATCATTTCCATATTTACTATTTCACTTATATTGCGTAACATTTGGTCAAAGACCCATTTTTGGAGGGACGAACTTTTTAGCTACGGTTTTGAGATTTGATAACAACCTTTACTAATTATCATAAATTATAGATTTATTTATTTGTTATATTGCATCACGTATTGATGTTATTTTTTATATATATTTATTGATTAAGTAATTCTATTATTTATTGTTGGTTGGCATAATAATTTTAATAAAAACCAAAATATGAGAAAATTTATATATTGTCAGTCTCCCCATCTTTGCATTTGCGAAATTAATATATGTAATTTAATATGTTGCAAGTTGGCCAGCAGGCAACAGGATTCATTAATTAGTCAAAAGAAAGCATGAATTAAACTTGGGAAATTGGGAATGCAGCAGCCACAAAATAACGTGGGATGCAACACCATATTTAATTGAACATAATTAATGGGAGAATACTGTAATCAGTGATGTATTACAGTAATAATTATTCTATTTTTTTTTTTTAAATGGTTAGGAGAATGGGAGGAGACAGAAGAGTGGAAAATGAGGGGCGCACATGTCCCATGCTATAATGAATAACTCTATCCTCTAATCCTAAACCTAACCCTAACCCTAACCCCAACACCCACTACCCCATCTTATCCATTTACACCTATTTTTCGGGACAAATTCCCTCGCCCCCACCCAACAATGACAATCAATCTTCTCTAAACTTTTTATTTTTATTACATATTTGTTATTTATATACTTAGTACTTGAACACGTAGTATTATAAGATAAGAGGATTGATTCTTATAAGGTGCATCATAAAGACAAATATGCATAGAATAGTTCATAACTCATTAAAATAACATGTAATTTGTACGTCATATTTTAGATAATCCCTCTTAACTTTTTGTGAATATTGTATGTCAAACTAGAAAATAAACGTACAAATGAATTTAAAAACTTCATTAGTATTAAAAATAAATACCAATAAACTCCTAGATGGCCAAATATTGTTACTGGGACTCTATCCCTCTTGACTTTATTTCGACTTTTTTAAAATAATCCATTATTCAATCTTTTGTTTGGTTTCAAAAAAAAAACAATAGATTTTCACTTATTCATTAACTGGTTATTTTAAAGCCTATTGACTAATTGTTAAAAGTTTTTATAACACCAACCAATAAAATTAGTACAAAGAAACAATAATATTTTTAGAAGTAATAAAAGTTAAAACAATTATATAATCTAAACAAATGTTATTGTAATTTCTTCAATGGTAAAAATTGACTGTTTATTTTTATTGTTAAATGTAAGTGGCCTTAAATTTTATATATACCAACTAACAATTGTTTAATATAAAGATGTAACATAGGAAATGTTTGACTGTTATGATTATAATGAAGGCTGCAATTTTATTGGCTACTTCTGTTACTACTTTATGAATTGTTTGAAGGGCTGTCTGGCCTGTGATGATAAGCTTTGGATTAATGCATATGTATAATGTATTAGCAAGATAAATATATATTAGAAATTTAATGTAAAGGTAAATAATAATAATAATAATAATAATAATAATAATAATAATAATAATAAAACAAATAAAGAAAAGCAGTGATAGCCAATGAGAAGGTTGTAGAAAACCAATGCAGAAAATAGGGGAAAAAGGCAACACTTGCATCATGCTCACACGCTCGTCATCCCCTTTTCTCCTTTTGCCATCACACTATACTACAGTCAAAAGAATCTCTTTTTACAGTCCAGTATGTATGGCTGCCTTTCCTCCTCCTTGCCCCATTTTCCACAGCGCGTGCCACTTACTCCCGCCGTAATAACTACAGCCCACAATTCGTGTTTCTATGTATTACGTACTATGAATCAACCAACGTTCCTTATTTAGTTCTAACCCTGACGTTGGACACTCATATTATTTGGTCGAACTAGTCGCATAGAGTCATTTTAGTATACGTAATTGCTTCTTATGTATGATTTGTAAATGATTATTTTGTAATGAGTTTTATTCTGTATATACCATATATTATTGCATAGTGGTTGCAGGTAGAATTATGTTATTTGTTTCATCAACTTTAAAGAAAATTGTGTGCATAAAATGTTAAAATATAATAACAATCACTTGAGATCTAATGATTTCTTCAATAAAATGTTGAATTTGAATGTTTGGATGTCTAATGCTTTGGGATCCATGTGGAATCTTGTGGATGCTTGCACATTAAGAGTTGTAATGAAAATAATTGGATGGTTGAAACAAACTTGTTTTTGTGCACAAATTAAAATTGAGAAGCCCCAAGACTCAATTATGTATCTTTGTTCACAATCATCAATTTGTCAATAATAAATCTGAGCGGATGAAGTTCATGTAAACCTTTTAAGACAATCTATCAAAGATTTGCTTATGGTCATAAATCATAATAAGATAGGATTTTATGTCAGTTCGTATTTCAATCAATCACATTTAATGCTACATTAATTTTCTAAGAGAACAAAAGACACCATAGACTAAAATGAACATTAATTAAGATGGACAAATTATAATTTAACACTTCGCATTCAATTATCCAATGAATCTTGTTGTTGTTCTTGTTGTTGAGAAAACAAACAAAATCTTATAATGTAATTCTTTGGATACCAAGTTACTTGGGTTTTAAGTCCTACGACTGTCCATTTGATTTTGATGAATGATATTATAGGTGTTCCTCAAATAAGGAAATTGTTGGGAGCATCCACAGTAAACTTCTTATAAATTGTTTGGTAATTAAAAAATTTAAATTTTAATCTCTACAACTTCAATCTATGAACACCTTAGTAGTTGTGAGTTTTCTCGTAAATATATAAAAAAAAAAAGTCTAAAATCTTATATATAAAATGAGAAATCAGGATTATGATTCTAAAAGTCTACCTACGATAGCTAAAAGTCTAAAACATGCGAAGCACAGTCTACTGTAACGTACAATCAGCCTGGTAACTTCAAAAATAAGCATAAAAACAGTCATACAAACATACATATACAGAATCCCCCAGTTAAGCGAACAAATTTAGTATATGATGATCTGTGGTGCTGATATTTTAATCATAATTTCGTAACAATCTTGATTAAGCTAATTAAGATAGTACTGCGGGTGCTGATATTTTAATTTATATCGACAGTACAACGACAGATCACAGTGCTTTAAAACATGGATTTGCGTTGGGAAATTCACTGCCCCAAAGATACCCAACATCAAAATACAAATTCAATTATACACAAAATATATAGAGAGATTTATATGCTTTCTTGTGCGGTCTATGTGCATGTACTTATGCAAATATATATATATATATATATATATATATATATATATATATATATATATATATTTTAACGAGAAAAATCAGCAACCATTATCTAAGTATGTATCATAATTAAGTAAATCAATCTAGATTAAGTGCCAATAAGCCGTTCGCCATAATTGAACTTGTAATATTCTAATATATATTATTGCAGTATAATATATGCATGAAAGAAGATAATGGATGCATCGATCTGAAGCAAGAAAAAAGAGATTGTCTAAAAAGATCTGGGCAGATTAATATTCATGATTATAAGAAAAATATATACAAGAAATTTATCCGCATAAAGAAGAGATATAATATCTCCAGAAAACTCCAGTCTCCCTGAACATGAAAATGGAGTTAGAGAATCATACGAAGTGTTAAGAGTAAGATCACCGGAGTGGCTCTCAAAAGGGTAGGCTTTATGTAAGAAAAAGTTCACATCCACAACGGCGGCGGCTCGTTCAAGTCGATAGGCAGCCCGCGTCTGACGATAGAGAAGAAGCTTGCAGCGCCGCCGGTGTCGGACGGCGGAGAGGCAGAGGGAGGAGCGACATTGACGACGTCAGGAGGGACGACGTTCAAGGCGACGTCCTTGAGGACTCCGGTCTGGAGAAACTCCCCGATCATGATGCGGCCGGATGGTGGCGGCCAGCAGCGGCGGTGGTGGTGGTTACTGGTGTTGTCCGTCGGGAGGTTTAGATCGAGCGTGAGAACAGGAGGCGCCGCCACAGACGGCGGCGGAGGGAAATTGGTTTTTGCCTTGGCGCCCCGGAGAGACCTGGCGGCTCCATCGTAGGCTAACGCAGCTTCCTCTGGTGTGTCGAAAGTGCCCAACCATACACGGGTTTTCTTCCACGGGTCGCGTATCTCGGCGGCGTAACGGCCCCATGGCCGCTTTCTCACTCCTCTGTAGTGGCCCTCACGGGTGGACGCCATGGGAGAGAGTACACAGAGAGAGAGAGAGAGAGAGTATATATGTTTGGTTTGTTTAGAACGCAGAAACAACGTTAGCTTGGCAAACCTAAAAAGAGCAGAGAAATTATTTATTTTTATTTAAAAAAAAAAAAAAAAAAAAAAAAACAACCTTTGAAGGGACCCACCGTGTCACCCGTAATCGTCGGCTGGACGGCACGACCTCACCCTAAATAAACAACAGCGAGTTATTCCGTGTCGCTCATGACTCGGTCATCTTCCCCCCTATGTATCCACCGTTGCATTTTTATCCAACATCAATTAATACTATCCTTTTTATTTTATATTTCCCAAGATTCTTAGATCACTGCGCTTTCTTGTAACCATCATTTTTCATTATATTATTTATTCTTAAATACTGCTACATTATCTTTTATCACAAAGAAAAACACCTTTAAATTAAAGATTAAAAAAAGGGTTGGATCGTAAAACGGATCAGAATCAATCGGGAAGAAAATTAGAAATAAATAAATAATGAAGCCAGCGGCGTTAAATATATATGAAAAATGGTCGGGTGGGACCGCGGCAGAGGCGGGTCCCACGAAACCTAGAGAAGCAAGCGGAGAAAGACGCAAAAGTGAATTAAAAAAATGGAAAAATGAGTGGTGGGACCCAGTGATGGACAGAAGAGTCAGAGAGCATGGGGCATAGTAGGGGAGGAAATAGCCGCCGCCTGATAAGACGTGTCGCGGCGCGGCCTTTTAGTCATGTGACTACACAACCCACACGATGTAGCAGAAAGACAACCCCCCATGACGCCAGCCCTATAGCCTCCCCAAACAGTAATTCTAATCATCTGCGTACGGCGGCCACTGCCCGGCGGCAGGCAGCGGCGCCTCCACCTCTCCTCCGCTTTTAATTCTTTGCTTGTTCCGGAGTTTTGTCATTCAATGAAGAGCGTACTTCACCGCCCTGTCACCACAATCATTATTACACATTTTTCTTCAATAAATTATACTCTCATTATTATATACAAAAAAAATTAAATGTTACTGATTGTATTACATGGGTTGATGCAGAGATTCGAATTCATGACCTTTGATCTGACTCTTATAATAAATTAAAACATGTGTTCCATCCCAACTAAAAGCTTAAATTGATTGTTGGATAACACACAATTTATTTCTAGAGAGGAAAGAAAAAAGGGTAAAAAGGGAAGGGGGAAAAAACAGTAACGGTGGTTGCGTAAGATGGAGAGAAGTAGGAATTGAGTGGCGGAGTAGCTTTTGGCAGGTGTTGATGGGGAATGGTGTCACGTAGTTATTGGTTTAACGAGGAAGATGAAGGGGGTAAAACGGTAAAAACGGAAGAGGGGTGGTGTCAGACCCCCACGTGGAGGAAGGGGTACAACGGGAAATAGCAGATTTTGTGGTGTCTGAGATGAAGGAGACAGCGGAAGTGGTGGTGGGGCCATGGTTTTGAGTAACTTTGACTGGGCTTTGGGCGGTGATGACCGATGGACCGGTGGAGAGAGAAAGTGAGTGATTATTCATTTAAAATGAAAATGGAATTCATTTGTTACAGCGGCTCAGGGCACAACTCCTCTTTTTCTGACACTCTGACGTTTGAGTGTTGTTGTGGGTAAGTTTTTTTGAGTTTTCCCAACACCCGATGAGACAGTAATTGCTCTTCCGCTTCCCACACCAACGCGCCCCTCTCTGCCGTGTGTTCCACTCGTTCTGTACATACGGATTTGGTCGTTAGATTTTGGAGTACTTGTATACATTTCTTGGTACAGAGTATTCAATGTCCGTTTGACCGTTATTTTAGGTTACCATCATATTTCTTTGTCAACTTATATTTCATTTAAAAAGGAAATAACTTTATTTCAGTATTTTTACACTTCAAAAGGGGAAAAAAAAAATACAATCACGATAAATACGAAGTGGACTTAGGCGCAATAGAGCAACCTAGTAGGTCATCTTTAACCTTCAACTTTGATTGTCCATAATCGACTAGGTCAGTAAAATAAAGTGTTAACTTACTTTACAAAGAGTATTAAAGTGAAATGTACTTAGAAAATGAAATAAAATTCTAAATCCCATATATGAGTGTGTGAACCGAAGAGGTTTGGTAAGGTGAGTGGAGCAGAACAGGTTAAAACTGGGCAGAAGTCATATGTGTTATGATTTACGTGAAGAATGTTGTATTGAGGCTGCTGGTTTGAATGAATTAATTTGATTGTGAATGTAATAGTTAGGGACACAAATTGTCAAAAAGGTCTCCACAATAGTTCCCATTGAAAGACTCCTTGAAACCACTATCCCAATTCTAATCAAAATTTCATTACACATTGGAACGTCGTTGGTATAATTGTCACCACATTCTTCAACTTTCTTCAATCATTCCTCAAAACTACCAACCACAAACTCACTACACATGCCATATATCCTGGAAATGGTTGTGACATGAAACACAGCTAGTGGTTTTATGCTACGAGGTAATCGGTCGGGGAAAAACACAACTGTATAAGTGTTTTTTATTGCTAGAAAGTGATAATCGAATCTCTTACATTGTTCATTTCGAAGGTATTTTAACATAGGCACTTGGGCCTAAGAAAGAAAATGAAATCATTTACAAATTCGGATTATGGATCTTTGTTTAACTTTTCCCAAATCCTCTAACATCTTATATCGCTCATTCTTTTTGCTATTCAATTAATTGAATACTCTAACTACAGGTCATAGGTTGACTTTAACAATTTGACCCATACTAGAGGATAGAATCTGATGGATATAGTTAGGAAATTCATCCCAGGTCTTTTTGTAGCATAGCATGTACATCTTATTAAGTTTTTGTTGGCAAATTTATATATTGAATGTTCACAATTTAGATACTGAATGTTCATAATTTTTATATACTAAGGCCCTGTTTGGTAAAATGGCTGTTAGCCGATAGCTGTTTGCTGTTAGCTGATTGTATTAATTAGAGGGTCTAAATAGTTGATAACATTAGCTGATTGTAGAAAAGTGTTTGGTAAATTAGCTGTTAGCTGATAGCTGTTTGGTATAATTTCTTTTCTCAAAAAGCTAATTGAAAAAGTTGCTAGGAGTAGCTTTTTTAATTATAGCCTTTTGGAGTAGCAAAAAGCTAATTAACCAAACATTTATATTGATATTTTAACTAAATCAAACAATTAATAGTGGTCAAATAAGCCAAAATTGGCCTATAGGCCAATTTTTTACCAAACAAGGCCTAAATGTTTACAATTTACATATTGAATGTTTACAATTTTATATACTAAATGTTCACAATTTACATGCTGAATGTTCACAATTCCTTAACATTTAGTATATAAATTGTGTATTTTGACCCGAGTCCATTGCATCACCTATTGGTTTTTCTTTTGAAATGACTATTGGTTTTTGTTATACTAGGCCTTTGACAAAAAATAATACTATGTTTTACATGGGCCATTTCTAAGTTTTCAGGGCTGATTTATGGACTTTATTAGAACGATAGACACACAGATTTCATTATAGGAGATGGGTAGGTGGAGGTAGGTGGCGCTTGCCAATAATTCGGTCAAATTTGATCACGCAACATATTTATATATACCAAGTTGAATCAGACGGATTGATAGACATATGAGAGGGTGTTACACGTAGACATTGGTTTGCCTAGGTGGCTAGGTGGGACTAGTCCCATGACTTGATAGGTCAGGAGGCGCACTATTTAGGTCGAGTGAGATTGAGGAATATTATAGTGCTTTATATATCTCTATTAATTTGAGAAATCATTTTAGATATTATCTCTATTGCATTGTTAAGATTGTAAAGGTGGACAAATATATAATTATCTTTGTCGTGTCACCACACACAACATTATAAACAGGGAATTCCAATGATATAATTTCTGGTTGATTCCATGATTTTTCTCCCACGATAGCGCGCATTATTTAACAATAAATTAAAACAATAATTACATGACTAATTAATGGCACAAGAGTTCTGGGGCCACTTGTCCAATGTAACATTAATTATATCACTCCAGTGGACTCTGATGATATTTTTGTCGTTTATATGTCTCAATTAGAGTGGGGTCTACCTTCACCCATTTGGGAAGAATAATATAATCACGGCAAAAGAATTTAATTCACATCCCTCGGACACAAATTTCATAATTAATATAGTGTTAGAAAGAACATACAATGAACCATGTTAGATGGAGATTTAAAGAGTTGGTCCACCATTTGATTTGGTAATTATTATAACATTTTAATTTGATTTTTTTGTAAAAGTTTCTCATTAACTTTCTCAGTTATACCTAATTAAATATGATCAATCGAGATTAAGTTATTTTACTATAATTCTTTGTCAACTAGTGTCACAAAATTAGCATTGCCCATAATTCACATATGGATAGCGATCATATTTTTGTGTAAATAAAAAAAATAGAGATTTAAAAAGTTAACTCCAATATTCTATCATCGAAACATAATATTGGTTATTATGTAAATATAATGAAATAAAATCTAAAATCGTATATTTTAATTTGCTTCTATAGTTGAGTCTTGAGTTGGACATGTGTCATATTTCTTAGAACTCAAACAAAAGAAATTTGGCCCATAAAACATAGCGTATCCGAAGTAGGAGCGTTTGGTGTCTGAACGTATTGTTCAACAGTTTTAACTAACTAACATATTGTTGATTTGAAGAAGAGGAATATAGTAACAGCCGAGTACGTACAAATACTAGGAAACAACTTGAATAATAATATTTGCCTTTGTACGAGAAAGACGAATGTGAAGAAATTTAAATCTAAATTTACTATTTGATGAGATAATGGATATGGGTTAACCCAAAAAAATTGTCATGGTTTAATCTGAACACATGAATTCGATTGGTAGTCTCATTACAATTACGAGAGCTCATCAATTTATCAATATGTGTCTATTATATGATGTTGATAAAATACAATGCAAGAGATATCTCATTAATAGCTACACGTAGATACGTTGGGAGTGATGTGTGTACCTTGACTAATGTTTATGAACCCGTTACCTACCAATGACAATATAACCATCAAGAGAGAACTTAATGTATTATG